TACTTCCTCGTCTTTGCAGCTTCTGCAAAAGTCATTGTATGGCGCCTGGAGTCTGCTGGCATGACTGCCGACCAGCCAGTGCCCCAGAGCCCGGATCACTGCAGAACAGTTAGTCCGACTTAGACTGCACAGCTCTTTGCTGCGCTTGGAGTTGATAATTGGCCATGTCTGGTGTGCTAAGCGGACACAGGTGGCACTTTGCCATTTTCTGCATGACCTGCGCCTGTACTCATTCTTGATGTTGAGTTTACAGGTGGCTAGAGGCATACTTTTACCTTCCTTGTCCGCGAGGAGTGGTAGTACAGTTGCCTTCAATGTCCTGGTGGCCAGGGACCCATGTTAGGCGAATAACATGCTGTTTAGTCATCTCGTGTAGAGATTTGCGACAGCTTGTTACTGTTGCTAGGGCTAACTTTGAGCCTTTCTAGGCAGTCTATAGCTTCGTTTATGGCCAGTACTTCAGCTTGAAAAACACTGCAGTGTTGGAAGGCTGAAGGATAATTGTATGTTGAGTTGCTCGGAGTAGACCCCTCCGCCTACGCGGTTGTCTAGTTTGGAGCCGTCTGTAAAGAAGGTTATGGTCGCCGGTGGACCGGGGGTGCCATGAACCCATTTCTCCCTATGAGGGAAGTATATATTGAAGGGAGTTTCCAGTTGGCACGCAGTAATCTGTTATTGAAGGGATGTTCGGCTTCCCTTCTAGGATTGAGGCATAGCCAGTGCTCTGAGTAGACCAGGCGAGGGATTCTCTGAATCTTATGGCCGTGAGTGTTGCGTTTTCCATTGCTTGTCTTTCCAGACATGGGATGTCCAGGATAGCGTCAAGTGCCACACTAGGTGTGGTACGCAGCGCCCCTGATATGCATAGTTCAGCCATACGCTGAACTTTGTTTAGTTTAGAAAGGGTGGTTTTCTATGAACGATATTTGGGGACATACCCCATTTCAGCTCAATGGATTTCCTACACGTATATAGAGCGACTGTTGCCTTCTTAACCCGTGATTGGATATTTAGGTTCCAGTCTAGTTTCCTATCCAGTGTCAGTCCTAGGAAATTGCCACTGTTGTTGAAGATCAGATTCACATTATTTAGTCGGGGTGGGACAAGAGAAGGGACCTTGTAGTTTCTTGTGAAAAGAACCAGTTCCGTTTTATTTGGGTTCACCCCTAAACCACTCTCTTTTGCCCAGCATGAAAGTATGTTTAGTTTACTAGTCATAAGGTCACAGAGAGTTTGTGGGTATTTTCCCCTGAAAATTACCGCAACGTCATCTGCGTATGCTACTATTTGGCAGCCGCCCCCCTCCATGTCCCACAGCAGTTTATTAATTGCTATGTTCCATAGTAGGGGTGACAGGACGCCTTCTTGTGGCGTACCTCTGCTTATGAATCTGGAGAGAGTTGACGACCCTAGTGTGGATATCACAGTCCTGCAAGTGAGCAATTGACTGATCAATCCCATCGTACTGGTATCAATCCCCATTCTCAGTAGAGCTCCAGTTATGGCTGCCGGAGTGACGTTGTTAAAGGCGCCCTCAATGTCGAGAAATGCTATTAGGGTGTACTCCTTATGGAGTAGAGATTTCTCTATAGTAGAGACCACAGAGTGAAGCGCAGTATCTGTGGATCTGCCCTTCCTGTAGGCATGTTGGGACTCCGACATAAGCCTGGGGATAATGGATGCTGTGAGATGGAGACTTATAAGTCATTCCAGGGTGTTTAGCATGAAAGATGACAGACTGATGGGTCTGAAATCTTTGGCGCTGTTGTGCGATGGCTTCCCAGCTTTGGGTATGAAGGTTATTTTTGACTGGAGCCATGTCGGTGGGATGCGACCAGTCTTCAGAATCTTCCCGAAGATCTCATGTAGCCAGCTTATGGCTGTATTTCTCACCTTTTGTAGTTGGACTGGGCTTATTTGATTTGGGCCTGGAGATTTGAACGGCTTGAAGCTGTTTACTGCCCACTTAATGTTACTTTTGTGTATAAGAGACTTCAAAGATGTGTTCTCTATACAGTTGGTTTCTGCGCACCTCGGGATCTGCTCGGAGCAGCCAGGGAATTGTGTTTTAAGGAGGATTTCCAGTGACTCTTCACTAGAGACCGACCAAGAGTTGCCATCCTTTTCAGATAACCTAGAGTGGGTGTGTTTTTGATAAAACTTTTCTAAGCCTTGAAGCTTCAGTAGTTGAATCAATATCCGTGCAGAAATCTCTTCAAGATTTCCTTCTTTCCCGTCTGTTGGGTTTTTTGTATTCAGCCAGACTTGATTTGTATTTTGACCATTGCAGGTCGTTATTTTGCGCTTTCGCTGCATTGAAGAGAGACCTGCAACTTTTTCGAAGGACATTTAGTTGAGCTGTCCACCATGGTGGTTTCTTCTTGTGCACTGGCTTACTGATAGGGCAAGCTGCCTTAAAAGCCTTATTACATGCTGTGATGAAAGTCTCTGTGAGATTGCAGAGATGAGCTAAGTTGGCCGGGCCTTTCGGTGGATGTTTCGAAAGGGTTCGGTCAAGTTTGGCTTTGAAAATTTCCCAGTTTGCTTTCTTCTGATTTGTGTAGGGAACTGGTTCTGGATGGCTTGCGAGAAGCTCAAATTCTATGTATCTGTATCAGACACTCTCCAACGGATGCTGCTTTACTGTGGTGAAGGTTTATCTGCCGTAGTCTCAAGGACATCCGGAGATTCCACCCTCACAAACGTGTTGTTGCTGTCGTCCTCGTCCGATCACTGGTAGACCGCTTTACCAGTTTAAAGTTATGCCTTTTGGCCTTTGTAACGCTCCCTCTACTATGTGTCGTCTGATGGATGATATTATTCCGCCAGATCTCCGACATTGTGTTTTTGGCTATTTAGATGATTTGTGCATAGTGTCCGAAGATTTTTCTTCCCATCTGGCCATATTAGTCAGAATCGCAGAGCGGTTTCGAAAAGCAAAAATAACCCTTAACCTTGACAAAAGCCACTTTTGCGTAACAAGTATCAATTACCTAGGTTATGTTATTAGTAGTACCGTTTGCTGCTTGCTGCTTCGTTTTTACTGCTTATAGAAGAGCTGGCGGAGGTAGGCTGCAGCCTTTTCGCCTCGTGGTTTTATCAAAGAAGTCTGCTCCCTCCACGTCTGTTAGCTTGATGGCTAAACGTTAGAGGTTAAATCCGCGCGCCTCCAATTACTCAGATATTTTTCACATTTTGCGCAGTAAGGCCTGGCCGCGACCACCACCAAAAGAAAAAGCGAGACAAATCCACCTTGGAGGCCATCGCGGCAGCGATCATGCAAGTTTTGCGTTGTAAAAATTTATAAGATATGTGCCTCAGTTGCCGAAATTACCGTGTATTATTTTAAAGTCCAAATCCCCTTTTTGGCACTTTGGATTAAAGTCCAAGTCAACCCCACACCAGCGAAACGTGTGTTGGCGAAGTCGCTTCAGGTGTGGGGCTGGAGGACCGCCAATTCAAAGACCATTGGAATTACATTTGGCGCCCTCCCCTCGCCGTGCCATTCCTGGGCCTTCCCAATTGGGACACAATTATCATCGGGAGTACGGGCGCCCGAAGCTTTGGATTTGGATTTCCGCACCGCAGCTGACATCAGTGCATCATAACTCGCCGCAGAAACCGACGCTCCGTTCGAAATTTTTTGTTTGTGCTCATAAAAAGTAATTTGAACCTGCAAATTATTTATAAGTGCTTGCCCATAAAAGATTCTGCAGATGAATCTATACCAATTCAAATCGCTGCAGCATAAGCGCAGCTTAAAGTGAGTGATGTGGTTGTTGTTGTGCGAGCAAAAGCTTTTACTTGCCGGCCAAAAATTGGCCACCAGTTTTTTTGTTTTTTTTTTATGTGAAGTGTTGGGCAGAAAAACGAAAAAAAAAACAATTAAAAGACAAGATAACTAAAACAAGTGAAGAGCAGAAGAGACATACATATAAAGCTCACATTACATACACACATACACACACCACCCCAAGCATCGATGGAAAGCTTTCCAACGTGGGACACAAGTAAGTGTAAAAATTATTTATCTGTTGCTTTTGCTTTTCGTAAGCTGAGCTTATCTGACATGCTGTACCGAAAAAGCTTTCAGCACTTGTGATCACCTCCACACGTAGGCGAAAGAAGATAGCATGTCAGATGAGCACAAGCTTAATTTGATTTGCCTGATTGTTTAACTATGATTGTTGCCCACAAACAAAAGAGAAAAAAATTATAATAATATCTAATAGAAAAAAAAAAACAAAAAAATAATACATAAATGAAAAAAAAGTTTTACCAGTAACTACATTCTGTACCTCTACAACACATCCAACAACCACACCAACATTCTTTTAAGCGTGTGCAGCGCGAACAGCTGTTTATTGCAAGCTTCGCACACTGACCTGCGAAGTACAGTGGCTGCGATGATGGTTAGCCCACTTGTAATATTTTTTTGTAAATAATTAAAATTAAAAGTGTATTGATTTCCTTCGAGTTTGTATTAATTTCTAAAATTAATGTTTTTCTTAGATTTTGCCATTAATTCAATTAATTATTAATTTTTTAAATTAATTAATTTTTTTGAGTTAAAAATTTGTAAATTTCAAAATATTAATTTTTTTAATTAAAATTTTTTAAATCGAGCATTCCAAATTATTGATTTTTAGAATTAAATTTTTTTTCTTAATTACATTTTTCTTATTGTTAATTAATCTGTAGGTGCCCGTAATAATGATGAATGAAAATGAATAAACCTGTTATTCCTTGCCTGTCGAAAGCACCAATATATCACTCAGCCGGCTAGCTATCGACTCAGGGGTAGTTCGACCGCGATATATTGGGCGGCAAGCTAACAAAAAAATTTGTATTCGACAGGCAAGGCATAACAAATGGCGCCCAATTGAAAAAACTAGGCTGACATATGAACAAACATTTTAAACAACACCGCGAAGCACATTTATAGCAACAAATGACGCTTGCATGAAAGGAATAAAAAAAAAAAATGAATAGATAATAAATTAAAATAATCAGGAGATTGTACTTGAAATTCTGAGCATTAACAATTTTCCATATATTGAACAGGTGGCCTTAACCAACAAGTAGGAGGAATGTTTTATCGGACCGTGGATGAGTATCCTACTATGCTGAGTCCATCGCTGCCACAAATAGTAGTCATGCCGATTTGGTCAAAGAACATCTTTCAAGTGTCATTAGTAGTGAAAGTGAAGCTTAGCTGGTCCGTGAGCCGGAGAAAAGGCCGAGCCACGTTGCCGCTGAAGTGGATCTGAAGCTAAAAAGAAAAATAGAATTTGATAATTAGTTTACCGGCCAATTGAAATTTCTTAAAGATAGCATACCTGGAAATGGGGCTTACAAAGTACGTCGAGTTTTCGAGTCGCGATCCGTGCATTACTGTTTAGTGATTGTCAACGTTGTCCGACTTTGAGAACGCGCGCAGTCAATAGAATTAATTAATATTTCAGAATAGAGAGGAACAATTGTAGGCGAGCTAGAAAGATAAAGGAGTGGTTTAGCGTGTGATATTAAATTATTTTCGTTTCTTCTTGTATGGATTGTTACTTATAGGTGGCGTCATACGGGGTTACCATCATCTCACCCATCTTCATGTTTAAATTGTATTTTCGAGAATCCTGAGTTTGAATTTTGAGTGTTAGTTTTTGGTAATAATTCGATTCCCAGTGATAGCTTAGTTCTCAACATTATTGTTACAATACAATTTTGACTTAGAGATTAGGTTAGTCAAATATTTATTATAGGTTACATATAATTGTTTCTGAGTTATTTATTGGTTGTTGGTATATTTATTGAATATTTATTTATTTTATACATGTATAGATTTAATCAATGTTTATTGAGTAAGTGGTTATATGTTGCTTATTTAACAATATAATAATTTATTTTTCCACTGGAGGTTGAGTAGAAGTACATAATAATTATAAAAATTTTGGGTTAGATAATTATACGTTTTTTTTTTTTTGTTGCATGTTGAAATATATATAAAATTAATAATTACATGAGCGAAGGGGTATTCAGGCAATCGAGGAAAGTGCGGCGTAGCGGGGACTTTCAGAGAGATAGAGAGCAAGAGAAAATGCGTCCAACTACCCGTGCACAAAATACCAAATGGAGAGCACTTCTATTCCAGTCGGAATGCGCAGCCGAGAAGATGTAGCGAGTACCACGTCATCAACGCAACAAACCAGGAGCGAAGTGGAGCTGTCCAGTGAACTGAAGACGGCTATTAATGTAGCGATAGCCCAAGCGCACGAGACCTACAGAGCATCGCTGTCCCAGGAATTGAGGGATTTTAAGGAGACAATGGAGGCCAGCATGTTAAGTTTCATGCGAGAAATTAAGGAAGTAGTCTCATCCCTGAAAGTGGAAAAAGGAAGAAGCGATTCAAGTTCACAAGAAGCGAGAGAGGCGAGGATTAATCAACCACCTGCACCTACTCAGCTTTTCGTGGATAATCGAGCGTTGGAATTCGAACATCAGAAACAAGCCGAACAACGACAAGTTCCCGTATCGTGCTGGATGCAACAAACGGGTAATGAGAGTGGACACTATCAAGGAAACCACAAGAGCATCGGGGATACGAGGCAGGAGATCAATCACATCCGAAGGTGGGGCTTGATCTTCGATGGAGACCCGAAGGGAATGCTGGTGGTGGACTTCATCTTCCGTTTTAAAATCTCCACTCGAGGGATTTCCATGGATTAGTGAACGAGCAGGCTAAAGACTGGTACTGGATGTATGTGCGTACCTCTGGAGTTCCCGATTGGCCAAATCACAGATGTGGCCTACAGCTGCAGTGTGAGCCCGGCTAGCTCAGTCAGTCGAGTATGAGGCTCTTAATCCCAGGGTGTGGGCGATGGCCTACGTTGGGCAAAGATAGCCTCCTTTTGCACTCCTGTTTCTCTGAAATGAACCTCGAAACATTAGTGTGGTGTTATGGTCGGCAGAAAGATCGATAGGCGAGGGATATCGATGGGGGACCATCTTCAGAAAAATAGGGAAGAAAAAAGTGAGAGGGAGAAAAAAAGAAAGAAAAAAGAGGAAGAAGGGACCGCATGCGCATGCGCTGCTGAAAGGAATTATTTTTAAAAAAAATTTGAATGAATTAATTATGAATAAATTATGGAGTCATTATATATCAAGTAAAAGTAATAAATAAAATAAAAACATACAAACATACCAACCGGCGGCAGCAACAGGCTGAGTTATCCATCGCCGCCATCAAGGAGAAAATCGCCAGGGACAACTGGACTCAGGAACCAGGAAGTCGAAGCCCGGAGTCGGGGAGACACCTCGGATTAATTTAGTGTTGACAAAATGTTAGGGATCACGATGTCACATGTATCATATGAGTTGTAAATTAAATAGTCTGAAAAAAAATGAACATGATGTGGTAAATCAATGTGATTGGGTGAGATGAGGGCATAAGAAACAAATGAGAAAGGAATAATGGTGAAAAGGAATTTCTCCAGGAAATTTAGAGGAGGAATCACTAGGAAGGGAGGGACACGCAGGCTGTACAACATCCACACATCCAACACAGCAGCGAGCGGACTGGTTTGATGGAAATATTTGTTTTTTTTTTTTTTAATTATTTCTGGCAGGCATGGTGGTATAATGAATTAGGACAAGTTTTTTGTAGGGGATCATCGACTAACTTTGCTTCGATGATCATGGTTGGGTTAGGGTATAGAACGCGAGAGTCGACTACCACCTCAGACCTCGCCCCTTTCAGGGCACCCTGAACAGATGACAGCCCACTATAAAGGGAATTGGTCTAGTCCATTAATCGTTTGTGGGATTTCTAAGCCCAAACGAACTCTTCGAGGAGTATCGTCTCCCCATGTAGTTTAGATGTTGTAACGAACCTATTTGCTAGGTGGTGTTTTAGCTAGGCTAAAACTCAGTCGAGCTGTGGGTTCGAGCAACAAATTTATATTGCGTTTGCAACAATTAATAACACAGCATCAATATATTAAACTTGCTTTATTTATTTCACTTTTATTGCTTGATATTACACTATTCACAGTTGGTCTTCTGATCGCTTATTTATTACTGGCTCCGTAGCGTCTCGCCACGCATCGGTATCCTTGATCAGGTTTGATTCGAGCTCCTGTGCGCCAGAATCTGCCCCAGGCCCTTCGCCACCAGCTATGCAAGCCCAGGATCTCAATCTGCCCGCCAGAGATTCCGTACAGCACTTCTGACGTTCACCAGGATTAACGGCTTCCTTGTTTCCCAAGGATTGCGCCGAGTCCTTTTGTGAGTCAGGATTCGCGTGTCTCACTCTCTGGCTAATCACAGACCAAGCCTAGCTTGCTTCACTTGGTTCCTTGCGGATATCGCCTGTTGCCACAATTCAAGTGTGGCAAGGATATACGGCTCGCACCTAATTTCAGGACCTCGATGTCCTGTGATCCTTGTTGAGTTTGACACTCCGTGTCGTTGCACTTTCACTGGTATTCTGGCTTTCACTCGCACATATGTTCGCCCCGTGTATATGCGCGCAGCCTCTCTTGTTTAATTTGCACAGCTTGTTTTCTTTCACAGCGTATTTACTTTCTCGCGTATTTACTTTCTCGCGTATTTACTTTCTCGCGTGTGTAATCGAACTCTCTCGCGTGTGTAATCGAACAGCCCCGCCTTATGCGGCGGCGCTCCTTTTATAGGCCGCGGCTGGCCACCTTTTGCCGGGAGTGTACCTCGGTGGCGTGATCTTTTGGTGGCGTGATTTTCTGGTACTTTTTCACTGCCCTTTTGCTGGCGCCAGCCATTGTCTGCCGTCAGTGTGAGTAAGGACAACAGTATTGTTCTCGCAATACTCTTCCCACACTAACGGCACATGTCCTGATGGACATGTGTGTCAGACACGTTCAAATGGCTGAACACCCGCGTTAGAAAGGGAGAGGGCGAAAGAGAGCGAATTCGCCGCAACTGCATCAGGGCCGGTTTTCGGTCTGAATGGACAGTTGTTGTGAGGGCGCATATAACATGCTTACGGGCATTTTGTATTCCCATTCGTGAACATACGTATATATATATGTTTATAATCACAAACATACACATATATGCATGCTCACAAGTGAATGCTTCTATGGCTCCTCACAATGTAGATGGAATCCTAAAAAAATATAACTATGTTGTCCCTACTGAGACTCAGCAACAGCCCACCACATCCCGAAAGTGCTACGGTCCAGAGGATTCCGCTCGCTTTCTGCCTCAGTAGAAATAATCGTTCTACCGAAAAAAAAAAAAAAACAAACAGAACGTTTGCCACTCGGACGTACCCGAATACTACATTTGGCAGCGTATACGCTCGAACGGTTGATGAGAACTGTTCAGAACATTATAACATATGGGATTCTATTTTGGGGCACAACAGTAGTAGGGAAATGGGGATTCTATGACAGGAAGCAGGTCATTGCTTTTTTGATTTTAAATTGCTTCATTATTGGAGCTAATTTATTGCTTTTGGGTGGGGGAGTGACAGGTGTGTGACCTTTTTTTTTAGGAAAATGCGTGATTTTGGATCACGTATGAGACATTTATGATCGAAGGGTATAGATTTATGGCTGACCCTTTTTTTATTGTGGGTTGGCATGAGGTGGAGGATCACTCAGCGCACTTGTGTGTGCGTACGTGATTGTGGTTTTAAGGAGAATATTGTGTGCTAGGCATGTAACCTGTAACCTGTGTGTCAGAATCAGGTGGAAGATCAGCTAGCAGCTGGCGCACTGTTGTGCCTGTTCATGATTTGATTATTGAGGGTGAGTGCAATGATCAGTGGAAAGGTAATGCTCGCTTCTCTTTTGTCACTTTTTTTGTTAATGCATAGAACTCATACGAGACCTCACACCTGAATGTTTTCCCGCCCAATAATTAAAGTATTATTGGTGTAAACTGTTGTTAAGTAGGTACTTCGCACGTACGTTTACCACGTGCTGGTACCTTCTTCGTGTGTTTGGTTCTCTCCCTTTTTACAGTGCACTCTGTTTGAGTGACCCTCCTTATGTTAATTTCACAATAATTTGAAATAATAGCCTGCGTTGCTTCATACCTAGGTTTGTAGAGTTTAAGATGTTTAAATAAAATAACTTCTTTTTTTCTAATTTTCATAATACTCGGATATTTTATTTATTTATATATAGAATGTTTACAAATGTGAAAATTTGTTTATTCTTATTGTTATAGTTTAATTTTAGGATACATGTACATTATGAAAGTATATTATTATTATTATCCATTTTGCTTAACCTCTTTCTTAAGTTAGTGTATTGAAATATAAGACGATCCAGTTTTCTTTTATATGATGCAAAGAAGTAACAAGCACATGTATCAACTCCTTCTGTGGCGTTATCCGAAGACCATGAGCACACTGTCAAGTGCTTTCCATATTTTGATTTAATTAGACGATAGTTTTCATATTCCAAGAAAAATACTCGGTATTCCTCCAACAATTTAGAATGTTCAGGGAAAATTACATCCTCAAACTCCTTGAGGAAATCATCAATTTTCCTTACATTTGTTTTAAATCCAAAATTCGAAATTAGACCGATTCTGTTGTGTATTCTCCAAAAGCAGAAATGCAACTGAAGAATTATTTTACTTTATTTATAAAGTGTCTATACTTGTGTAACTTTCTTTTGTAATACTTGTCTATACTGGTTTATATCTTTTTTTATTTCTTTTCCCATTTTTCTTGAAATTTCAAAGCATAGGCGTGTTAAATCAATTTCTGCTTCATGTCCATAAGACACATTTAAATCTAAAAGTTGTACATCATATTTCCCCATCTTTGAACATTTTGGGATAATATAATTATTATATATATTACAAATTTGATTTTTAATCAGTGTGTTCCAACATAAAAATTACATGAAAAATATCCCCAATGTTATGAAGGCTCTCCATGATTCACTATCAAATTCAATTTTATTTCCGCATTGATTTAAAATTAATATGCATTGCTTATCAGATTTTCTAATCTTAAAATGACACTTTATGCTCTCAATCTTGGGATTATCAATTAGTGCATCAGTCATCAAGAACTCAAACTGCTCAAGCCTTAACTGGATATATTCCTTAAAGGTCAGTAATTGAATCCATTCCTCTTTTCCAAATCCAATGAAATTACGTTTATGCTGCTGCATCCAAACCATTGGTGTAAATCGTCTCGTTGTTAAAAAGCCACACTTTAATTTTAGTTGTAGATTAACAAAATACTCGAAACCAAAAATGATTTCGTGATCTTGAATTTTTCTTGAATTTTTGGATTTTCTTAGCTGAAGTGTGTCCATATCGATTGAAAAGTTGTCTCAAACTAACTTGCGAATTGAATTGTGAACGCTATTTAAGGTGAAGAGTCTTGCTCATGCTTCTCAGTACATTATACACATTAGACGCAAAATGATTAAGATAGACAGGAGCTCGTGTGTTCTTCTTGACTTTCAGTATATATTTGGAAACGAGCAACAAATTTTTGTAAAGGAATTGGCCTGGCAAGCCGGATTAATCCTTCCGAATTTCTTTCACTTCAAGCCTCCTTATGATATAAAAGAGCTGGATGAAATAACAAGAAAAACCCTAAAAACAACTAAACAGTATGTCGATGGATTGGATTGGTGTGATGGCGACATTTCTTATTTAAGCCTTGGTGATATATTAAGTCCATTAAATAGTTTCGCTGCAGTTATTGTACGAGGTCGAGCAAAGAAACAGTTTTTAAGTAAATACTTAACTACAAAAATAGTTGATTTAGAACTAGATCAAAGTTTAAGACACTTTCAAAACTTTTTCACAAATTGTAGAATACATGAGAAAATAACAAACCAATGTGCTCTAAACAATTTATTTAAACTATTTGTAATCTTAGAAAACTCTAATTTTGAAATATATGGAAATTAAAATTTGATTGTACCATTATGTTCCTAAATATAAACAAACTATAAAATCTATAAAATTCTATATATCGAGTTTGCTTTATTCAATTTAGCCAATGGGTTTACATCACATTTAAATTACAGATTATAATAAAATCTAATACAACTCGTGCGTTTCTTAGGGCACATACTCCTTTATTTAGATGGGACCCACAATCGGAGAAAACATTTAATTTCATCGCATCTAATCGTGGACATCCAAAGTCTTCAATGTTGATTACACACGTCTTTAGAAACTTTTCAAGAAACTTTTTCTTTGTATCTCCCTTTGTGATTACTCTCATATCCTTGAGAAGCTCAGGAAGATAGTTTCTGACTTCTAAAAAGCTATCATTTCCATCATTTCAACAGAGATTGTGCTGATTTCTAGTTAACCATATTGCCGTTTTACGGGCCTTCTTCGTTAGTCTAAGAAAATCATATGGCGGTCTTATAAGGTAATGAATATCATGATTGTTCGGTGCACAAAGCGTTTTTTATGCACACACGAGACTTCAAGTCTGGGCGGTATTTAACTATTTTAATTAACACTTTATTTTTCATATACAAAGGTGCGCGCGTTGCTTGTTCTAGTTCTTATTACAACTTATACTAATTCGATAGTTAACTATCGATGTTTTTATTAAATTACAAGTGATAGTGAACTATCGATATTTTATTAGATTACAAGTGTTGTTAACATAGAGTTTGACCAAACATCCTGGCCACCTTGAAAGGATCTGCTTTCAACACATCAAGCCTCCATCGGTAAGATGGCCAATTTGTGTACTGGTCGGCAGCAGATGCCATTGGCTGTACGAAGATGAACAACTCGAACATGACCATCCTTTCCAGGCACAAGTGCTTCGATGCGGCCGAGCTTCCATTGCTGAGGCGGAAGATTGTCGTCGTGGATTATGACCATGGTTCCAATAGCGAGATTTGACGACGATGATGTCCATTTGGTTCGAGCCCGAAGCTCGTGAATATAATCTGATGACCACCGTCGCCAAAATTGCTGTTTAGCAGCGGTTATCACGTCAAACCGCTCCAAATTGTTGAGATGAGGCGTTACTATAGTGTGTTCAGGAAGCGACCGAAGAGGTTTTCCAACTAACAAGTGTCCTGGGGTGATTGCTGATAGATCGTTGGGATCAGGCGACATAGGTGACAATGGGCGAGAATTGAGGACAGCTTCGATCTCTGTTGTGATCGTACAGAGCTCCTCAAATGTTAGGCGAGTGTTCGATAGCGTCTTGTGCAGCAACCCCTTTGCGCTCTTAACTGCTGCTTCCCAGAGTCCGCCAAAGTGGGGTGCCCTGGGCGGAATAAAATGAAACGACACGAAATCCGAAGCACAGTATTCTGATATTGCGTCTTGAGTAGATTGATCAAACAAAAATTGTTTCAAAGCCTTTAGTTCATTTGCTGCACCCACGAAGTTAGTTCCATTATCACAATAGATGTCAGTGGGCAGCGCTCGCCGAGCAACCATTCGTTTGAGTGCAGCCAAGAATGCCTTCGTGGATAATTGAGAGACCACTTCGATGTGAACTGCCTTGGATGCCAAACAAATGAATACGGCCAAGTAAGATTTTGTGGGACCCTTTCCTCGTATGCGAACATACGTATTTATTGGCCCACAGAAGTCAATACCACAGCGTTGGAATGGGTGTTCCGGTCGAAGGCGCTCCACTGGCAGCGATCCCATAAGCTGCCTTTCCAATTTTGGTTTGTACCGAACACACGCCATGCACGATGCGACGTGCCAAGTCTCTGGCGTTTACGATCCAATATTCCAATCGAAGGAGTGCCACTAAAGCTTTAGGTCCAGCATGGCAGTTGCGAAGATGTAGATGCCGCACATAGATCCAGACGAAGTGCGATTTACTGGGCAACAATATCGGATGTTTTTCGAAGTTCTCAAACTCAACGTTGTCCAGCCGGCCGCCAACTCTGATAAGTGAAAATCCTGTGGAGCGATCTAGAAAAGGATTGAGAAACTTTAGATGGCTTCTAAGTGGTTGATCTTCGACGAATGATAATTGCTGGATGTTCCAAATTATGCAATAGGATGCATTGCGTAGTTCCTCGGATGACAAAGTTGTTTCGAATTTACGTTTCATATGTGTGATTTGAACGAAGCGAAGCATGTACGCGACAGTGCGAACACAACGATTGTATGAGCTGATGTTCGCTAGTTTTTCCAGGACATGGTTACGATCCATTGTGGCGACGAAAGTAGATTTACGTTGTTCGGCATTGATTACTTGCATATCAATGTTGCTGATGTTGCTTGATGTTGGCCAATGTTCATGATGTTGGGTTAAAAAAGCTGGTCCTGAGAACCATATGGATGATTGTAGATCAGAAGTGGTGGCACCTCGAGAAACAATGTCAGCAGGATTTGATGTCGTTGGTACAAATCTCCAACGTCCGATTGAACTCAAATCCTGGATCTCAGAAACTCGATTTCCGACAAATGCTGATAACGTGACTGAATGTTGTATTAGCCAATGTAAAACAATTTGCGAATCCGACCACAAATATACGTCATGTGTCTCTTCGGCGAATATACACTTGATTTTGTTGTAAACTTGTGCCAACAAATGTGCTCCACATAATTCCAGTTTGGGAAGCGATTTCTTCTTTACTGGGGCCACTCTGGACTTGGCAGTGAGAAGATGAACACCAATGTTTCCGCAAGCAGATTCCGACCGCACGTAGATGCAACAGCCGTACGCTCGAATCGAAGCGTCGCAGAACCCATGCAATTGAAATGAGCTTTGGTTGACCTGCTTGCAGTACCGGGGTACAGCAAGTGACGAAATGTTTTGGAATGATTCCAGGCACTTCTTCCAGGCCAGTTCAAGATGCTGTGGTACCGATTCGTCCCAAGTAAGCCCTGCAAGCCAGAGCTCCTGTAGGATTATCTTTGCGACGATTATGAGTGGTGACACCAGTCCGAGAGGGTCGAACAACGCTGATGCAATTGACAGAATGGTCCTCTTGGTGACGGTTGACGCAACGATTTTCGGGTTGAAGTGAAATAGCAGCATATCGGTGAGTTGATTCCAGCTGACGCCAAGTGCACTGGTCAATCCATTCTCACACGTATTTAAGTCCTTGATAGCGACGTTTTCGATAAATTGGGCATGATTTGAATGCCACTTAGATAACGGAAAGTGACCACGATGAAGAATTTTCGTGACTTGATCCTTGATTGTGCGAAGAGTTTCTATGTCCTCACCTCCAGATAACAGGTCATCTACATAGAACGACGATTCAATGACTGCAGCACCGATTGGATACTCAGTTCGACACAGATTTGCCAAAAAATGCAGGCTGCGTATGGCTAAGTATGGCGCTGAGGCTGTTCCATATGTAACCGTGTTGAGTTGATAAGTGCGAAGTGGTTCATCTGGAAGAGCTCGCCAGAGTATGTACTGGTATTTGCGATCATTTAAATCAACATTTACTTGCCTGTACATCTTGGTTACATCAGCTGTTATGGCGTAACGATGTAATCTGAAACGCAACAACAGCAAATATAAATCGTCTTGGAGAGTCGGGCCGACAAGTAAATGATCATTGAGCGAAGTTTGATTGGATGTTCGACACGAGGCGTCGAAGACCACTCGAAGCTTTGTGGATTCGCTGCTGGGCTTCAAAACGCAATGGTGAGGTATGTAGTAGTGAGGTTCCGATAAGCTGTAAGCGAAGTTCCGAAGATTGTGCCAAACGGCGTTCCAAGCTGAGAAATCTGCGGCGTGCTATGTCGAATGAATGACCAAGTTGACTGGGATTGTTCTTAAACGGCAGCCTTACAACAATGCGACCACTGTCATTTATAACAGTCGTTTTTACGTAGTGTTCCTCACAAGCTCGATGTTCTGGTTTCAACAACACATTTGAAGTTTCAGTTGATTCAATTTCCCATAAGCGTTTAAGGTGATCGTCAATTGAAGTGGCACCAAGCTTAAAACTAGCAGCAAGCTCTCGAGACTGTTGCGGATGACACTTTCCTGTCACTACCCAACCAAACAGTGTCTTTTGGAGCATGGGCCCAGTTGTATCAAGTTTAACTTGGCCCACTGACAGAATGTCGAAGAATGCTTCTGTTGCTAAAAGCATGTCGATGTGTCGAGACTGGTAGAATTTCTCATCTGCCAGAACAATATTTTCTGGCATTTTCCATGTTGAAATGTCGATATTGATGTCCGGCTGATAGGCTATATGCGAGGTGACGCAAAGATCTAACGAAACTTCAAAAGGCGACAAGCGAGACCTTATTGATGTAGTTGTAAGAGAAGTGATGTATGTACGTGCATGACCAGTACTGCTGATTTGCACATCGTGTTTCTCTCTTTTTAGACGAAGCTTCTGAGCAAACGAATCGGTGAATAAATTCACCTGCGAACACGAGTCCAGTAGAGCACGGCCTAGTCTGTAGGTGCCAGTTGAATCTCTGACCAAGACCATAGCCGTTGCTAAAAGAACGTGAGATTGATAACGTTTTTCGATTTGCGAATGGTTGTGTGCTACTGCTTCGGTGGCTGGGGAAGAGCTTGGTTGTGTTGTTGAACGTATCTTGTTGTGTAACAAAGTGTGGTGCGATCTCTGACAATGGCGACAGCGATTTGTTGAAGGGCAATCGGCCATTTGATGACCCTTAGACAAGCAATTAAGACACAGTCGGTGACGTTTGACGACATCAAAACGTTGCAGCGCATCCAATGCTTTAAATTGTTCGCAAGCCATCAATTTGTGAGTTGAACTTGAGCACAATGCACAAGCATCGATAGCAAGTGCGAAAGACGAGTTATGTCCTTTGCCAGGATTACGAATCTGTTTTGAATACGTTTGGTTAATTGTTGTACCTTTGGACAACAGGAATTGACAATGACGCTCCAGTACTTGTACGCACTGATCCCAAGTCGGGATTGTTGTATAATCCAGCGATAAATTCCATTTGTTTCTAGTTTCCTGATCGCATTTATCCAGAACCACATAGATTAACATGGCTTGTGCTATGTCGATGCCAGAGCCCAAGGACGAAAGTGAACTAAATAATGCCGATGCATTATCAATTAACGACCGTAGCTGAGTAGCGTTTGATGAACTAGCTGAAGGCAACTGAAAAATTGACGATATTGTCTCTGTAAATATCAATGCTGGCTTGTCATACCGAGACTTTAATTTTTCTAATGCCTTAGCGTAGTTTTCATTGGTGACTGGAAATGCCTTCACGCACTCCAGTGCAGCACCCTTTAAGCAGTTGAGTAGATAGTTAAACTTCTCAATGTTTGTTATTTGCGCTCCTTTCACGATTTGATTAAACGAGCAAATGAAGTTGTTATATTCCAGATGATTGCCATCGAATGTGGGCAAGGCCAAACAAGGCAGACGTGATGGTTGAGGTTGGTAAGCAACGTGTGATGTAGCGTCATCAGCGACTGTACTATTTAAGTCTTCACCAAGCAATTTCTTAATTGCCAACTTAATGTGTACATAGTTGTCTTCCAGTTCAGCGCGCCCATTATCATTTGGATCCAGAGTTTCTATTTCCGATTGAATAGCCAACGATTGCTTAAAGTACGATTCCAAAATGCCTAAACGACATTGAAGATCCGCAGGTGATCTTTTAGAAGAATCTCCAGATTGTCCATCGACCAAAGTTTTAATGCGAGAAATGTTCCTTTTGATGTTTGCGCGCTGGCGTCGGTAGTCTTCCAAGGAATGCGACATATTTACAGAATTTGGCGCGGAGCTTAAGTTCTGCTTGACGCGCCAAAAACGACGAAAATGATTGTTGTGTGTATATGTGTATATGAACTGCAACAGTATCGATCGCAGTTGCAGCTCTTACACAAACGAACGAAGAATGAATTTGGGATAAACCACTAAAGACAGCGACTGAAGCGACGATTGCGAGCAGCGCACTGGCCGTTTTAGCAGTAGCGAAATATGCAATAAGAGCAGCGACGTTGTGAAAGAAGACGATCGAAAATTGACCGAAAACTAACGGCGAACAAAGTAGACGACGAACGAAAACGGCGCAGTCAGCAAAACGAATATAAAGACACAATGCAATAACCGTTGCTTTGAGTTATGTGCATGTGTGTGATTGCTGCTGCGATGAACTTTGTGTTGGTTTTGGTTAGCTATTTTCACATGCGACGAATTTGATGTTTTAATTGTTGTAACCAAGCAATTGGAAGCCAAGGCGAATTTGTTTAGTTTGTATATACGCGCACGCGGAATTTGTTAACTTAACAAAATGCGAAATTGTCCAATTGTTTATTAAATTTATTTAAACACTGCCCCACGTTGGGCGCCAAAATGTTCGGTGCACAAAGCGTTTTTTATGCACACACGAGACTTCAAGTCTGGGCGGTATTTAACTATTTTAATTAACACTTTATTTTTCATATACAAAGGTGCGCGCGTTGCTTGTTCTAGTTCTTATTACAACTTATACTAATTCGATAGTTAACTATCGATGTTTTCATTAAATTACAAGTGATAGTGAACTATCGATATTTGATTAGATTACAAGTGTTGTTAACATAGAGTTTGACCAAACAATGATAATAACCATTCTTAAAAGCAAGAGCAATTTCTTTTAATATAAAATTGTCGCAATTTCCAAAAAATCCTTGAATGTCGACAACTACTTGATTCTCCATCGAATTGATTTAAACAATGCGCTGAACTAATGGTGAATACTCAACTAACCGATCATCACACTTGCACTCTCCAACTCGATGGAAACTCTGATATCGGGTCCTGTTTTAACAGACTCATTCTGATGTGTTAGATCTATAACAACAATCGGTGCTTTTTGTAACTTGCTTGGAAATTTGCATACATATCATACAAAATTGCAAATCGTTCACGATTAAAATTTATATTCAAATCATCATAGGGATAAGTTTCAGAGTTCAAGTAGACTTTCAAGTTTCGCAATTGGTTTTGAATCAATTTATTATCCAGTATAAAGGCTATTATAGCAAAACGTGGGCGTTCTCTATTGGCTGCAAGTTTTACATTCCACATATGATGAGTGCCTTCTGCTAGTGTTGGATTGAGATAACAATCCCAACTGCGGAATGCTGGTGGTAGTGAGCCTCCATTTTTTGTTATATTTAACATTAGTAATTTCTTCTCATCACTGAGAGTAATATGTGGTACTTTCCATGTAATATTAGTTATATTTAATTTATACTCAATACTTCCAATTTTACTATGATATACATCATCCATGTTTTTAGTTATGAGTAGTATTAGTTCATGTTTACAATTTAATAAGACTTTGTTATAGTCTTCACAAAATCCAAGTAGGTATTTAATAGGAATAGAGAAATTAAAATATCCATCATTTGGCACGAGTTTTTCGTTTTCATTAAACCAACCAGAATTCTCAAGCATTCGACTTTCAGGTTTATTCAAAGAAATATAGTTTTTTTAAGGTTGTTGAAGTGCCAAAAAATCTAGTTCGATCAATTTCAATTCCATTCAACTCATATCGAATCTCATCAAAAAGGTAACTCATGCAATTGTTTTTCAGTTTACCACCTCCAGTAGGCGCATTATTAGCCAAAGATATCAAGCCCTCAATATTAATAAAACTCTCGCTCGGTAGCACATATAAGTCCTGATTCTGGATTGTGATTCTAACTTCATCATTACTCTTAAATTATTGTAGATAAGGAGAGTATCTATGATATTCTTTTTTAATTATACTCTCATCCGAATAGGGTTTCTCTCGAACAGTTATTAAATTAGTCATTGTTCTCTAATTCTTAAATCCAATGACCTTAAAAACAATTTGTTCTCTGTTGTAAGTGTTGTCCTTAACGACCTTCTTTCTTCTGCAGTATAACTCAAAGTGTTTGATAATGGAGGATAGCATACATTTTTATTATAAATAATCATTTTCGCTCTCTTAAATGTAGGCGAAGTATACCACTCTCATTACGTAAGTTAACTAAATTTCCGTCCTGATCAACAATCCGTATTTTTAACGACTGTATCTCTCTCGTGTTCACTGCGAAATAAATAAGACTGTGTGGCTTCTCACTCATTTTATAGCCTGGGGGGACATTTAAAGCAAACTCATGCAATACATGACTTGATTCTGCATTAACATATGATCCGCTTACTATATTACATTCTATTCGAATTGTATTTACTTTTAAAATATCAACAGGCTGGTCTGAGATGTGTATAGAATTCGGTGTTAGTACTTTTTTATTAAACCCGAATAATTGACCAATAGTATTCGTTTTGTTAAAATATATAGGGTGTTCCTTAGTTGAAATCATCACTTGAAGCGTATTATTGTTACTTTCGATGAGAGGGTGTTTTAATTTATTTGGTTCTTTTTCCTCCATTTTCTCAATAATAATATTTCTTATATCACTAAGCTCATATGATCCAACAGGTATCTCAAAAACATGTTCTCCAATGTGAAATAAATTATTATCGTGATCAACATTTGGAATTGAGTTATACATGAGGAAATCAATGAGTGCACACTCATAATTTCCCTTCAATTCAATGGGTGGATGATAGTTTGCCATTAAAATTGAGCTGTTGCCCGTTAATATAAGAGTTGTTGTCATTTCGAGCGATTATTGCTAAGTGAACTAATAATGAGATTTGTTCATATTATATTTCAAATTCTAGAGGATCATCTTTACTTATAAGTACAAAACCATATTTTTCCTTCCAACAAAATTGACATATATTCTTAAATTCATCAAATTTCATATCTACGCCTACATGATCTTGATACACATGTTTCATATTTAGTTCATCCTGCTTGAACATTATTATTAGGTTTGCAATTTCACGAATAAGATGTTTAGGGATGCGTGTATACGTTTGACATAAATAAAACGCATCAATGTTATTATGTCGTCCCATACAGAAGTATGCACGAATATTATTTTGTTTTTCACAAGCAACGTCATCAAAAATCATTATAGAGTTCTTTTTGGCTTTACTTGGTGCTAGAACACTTTCATTTTCGGAAAATGTAAAATATCCCATCCCTTTTATTGGGTTCACGAGTGTTTTCAAGTATTCATATTTTGGTTGATGTAAAGACTTTGAATATAAATAAATATTTTCAAATTTCACTCCATTTGGGCTTTCAATCAAACTGATCATTACATTTGTTTTCCCACAATTAGAAGGTCCAACAATTAGGGCTCTAATTGAATTGGGTAATAATCTGCTATGTCTAATTTGTTTGTCTTCTCCATTTTTAAAATCGATATTCCTCACTTCTATGTTCGTTTTTTGTTTTATTAATCTCATATCAGATACACTTCTCTCAGCAGATCGTTACTCTCTTGCAAGTCTTTGAAGAATAAACATCAATTAAAATGGTAGTGCGCTTTTATAAATCAACTAGTAGCAAATCACAGCTCTATCGAGGTAGAGGTCTCATCAATAAGATAATCAACTCCCTCCTGAACAACATACATATACCAGGTTATCAGTTCTGTGGTCTAGGAACTAAGCAAGAAAGTCGTTTGGAAAGAGGCGAAAAGGGAATAAATCCATTAGATGCTGCTTGTAGGGAGCACGACATAGCATATGCTAATCATAAGGATTTGAGAAATCGGCATATAGCTGATTCAAATTTGGCCGAAAGAGCGTGGGAGCGTGTAAAGGCCTCTGATAGTACTCTTAGGGAAAGAGCCGCAGCTTATTTTGTAATCAACATAATGAAAGCAAAGAAAAAATTTGGCATGGGACTCAAACAAAGAGAATATAAAAAGCCATGTGAGAAAAAGAAAAAATTCATGCCTGCCGTAAGAGTGGCTACCAGAGCATTGAAGAAGGAAAAGCCTTATGATATTCAATCTGCGATAAAAATCGCTAAAAAAGCAATAAACAAGAGTTTTGGGCGAAAGAAAAATGAAGTAATAATCCCTCGAGTTATTAGTGTTCCGAAAGTTGGTGGCTTCTTGCCGCTTATACCCGTTATAACAGCACTCGGAGCATTAGGTGGACTTGCCTCTGGCGGTGCATCTATTGCAAAGAGTATTAATAGTGCTAAAAATGCAAAGAAAGAATTGGAAGAAAATAAACGACATAACAGAAAAATGGAAGCCATTGCTTTAGGCAATGGACTCTATCTAAGACCATATCAAAAGGGATATGGTATATCAACTGACTTTCCAAAAAACTTTTAATTCAGCTACTTAATAAGCCGCTCTCAAACATAGACATTGTGAGTTTTGCTCACAAACATATCCCCTTTTTCCGAGGTGTATTTATGAGAGACTCATTACCAAAACGAGTACGGAAAAGAGAATGTGGTATTGTTAACTTGGACATTTCAACTGGAGCTGGAACGCATTGGGTAGCTTACTACAAAGCAGATAAGCAAATCAGATATTGTGATAGTTATGGAAATTTACCGCCACCCTTAGAGCTTATTAGATATTTGGGAGAGAATATAAAATACAATTATAACCAAGTTCAACGATTCGGTTTTTTTAACTGTGGACACTTATGTTTAAGATTTCTATTACTGCAGCATAAATCTGCTGATTTGAATTAACTTGTATTCAACTTTAAATAAATTAATGAATAAAAAACCGTGATTAACCACGTGATAAACTGCATCAAACCGCTCGAAAACCAGAAACCACCTATAAAGGTGTTTTTCGGTTTAGATCTGTTGGTTTTTTAATTAAAAATGAATGAGCATATTCTGAAAGAATTGA